TCAATTCTATGATGTTATATCCCAAAAATATCAATTTCAATAAATAAGCATTATAATTAGTTTAGCTGCAATTTCACTTCCTGAAGCTGTTTTAATATTTCTTTCATTTATTTAAAATGATAGTTAAAATTAAGGTCATAGTAACAATATTACTATAGTACAATATAAAATATGGTTAATATTTATTTTATGCTAACACTATTTACATTACTCAAACTTTACCTTCCGTCCATTAAAAAATATTTGTAAAAATGCCAATAATTTATAAATTAATTTTTTGCAAGTTATATTGAGTGTTCATGTTCATTTATTAATATTATATAACACTGCAGCTATATTTTTTCTAATTATTTTAATGTAATTCAATTACATAATTTGTTTTTTGGGCAGCACGTTAATTATTATTAAAACATTAAAAAATACCTACTAATATTGAATTAAAAATTGATTCTGCAACTTACATGCTAATCTTTCTTGAAGTTCTAATGATGGAGCCACATCAATAGCACTCTTATTGTGACAATTTAATTGGGTTGGATCAGCACCCTCACTTAAAAGAAGAGAACATACTTCAGCTCTTGATTTACTAGCTGCTTCATGTAATGGAGTAAATGCCCAGAGGTCACTTGCATTTACAGCTGCTCCATGTTTTAGTAATGTTTCAGTTACTTCAAAATGGCCATATGAGCAAGCATTGTGCAATGGTACTAAACCCCTAAAATTCTCATAAGATTACCAATACATCTAACTAATATGTAAACATTATAATAGTAATATATAGTATAAAGCAGTTTAACTTTAATACTTATTCTTTTTAATAGTATCTAACTAATTATTTATAAAAACATTCATAAATAAAATGTTAATAAAAAAACTTATTAATATTAAAATATAACCGTTACTATAATTATTGAATTTGAGTTCAAAATATTCATTTCTTAATTTTACTATACATATTTACATATTTTAAAATAAATCAATATACATTAACAAAATTATTTTAATCATCATGCTTTAATTTTAAAAATAATATAGTTTTATATAATAATACTAATATATTAAATGAAAATTTTTAATTTAATTATATAGATATTTTTAAATCATTTAATAAAATTGAAATATATTCCTATAATATAATAATGAAACTCACACTTACCCTTTATCTTTGGCATGTACATCAGCACCATTTTGCAACAAAATTTGAACAATTCTAGATCGATTATATCCAGCAGCTAAATGCAATGGTGTAGATCTGCGCCCATCACTAGCATGACAATTTACATTTAATGGAGTTAAAAGTTCCAATAAACGTTCTTCATTTCCAGAACGGGCAGCTTCTAACAATTCATCTTTTTTATACTCTCCTGCTAAAACTAGTTTTGTTATAGGATCAGCTAATTCAGAAGCAGTTTTACCTTCTGTATTTCTAATATTTGGATCTGCTCCATGTTGAAGT